TTTTTTTTTTGCGGCATCTTGACACTTAGTGTGCTCACCTTGGTCTCTCCTTTCCCCTTGGCACATTCTTGACCCTGAGGGGGGTAGGGAAATGCCGCCGAAAATTAAAAAAAAAAAAATATTGTTTTTTCCCTTCACATTTTTTTACTTATTTCTTTAATTATTTTTATTTTTTATTTATTTTCTTATTTATTTTTATTTTCTCTTAAAATCTCGCTGTTTATTTATTTTTCTCCCACCTTTTCCCCCCCTATGCTTGCTATTTTACTTCCTTGATTAGGTCACCGATACCCTACCCTAACCACTTAAACTTCGGTTAGGGTTTTCTTAGGGTTTTTGTAGGGTTTAGGGTTCTTCAAAACCCCCCTACTTCCCCGTCCTCTTCGGGCACCCTGGACCCGAATCACCCCTCCCCCTTTGACGGCGCTTGTGCTAGCCTTGCTAGCGCCGTTCGCCGCTTTTTACCGCAAACTTCCCCCTACGCCCTCCGCTCACGCGGACCTCTTCTGGCCTCCTCCAGTCCGGTCCGTCATCTCCCCATGGCCGACGATGTGTCATACGCCGCCGACACGGCGATGACCACGGCATCGGGCTCCATACCTGTGCCGACGGACCAGGGCCATCAGCCCCAGGGGGATCTGCACACCCTCCTCACCTCTTTCCTTGCGCCCATCCAGGTGCAACTTGCGACCCTCGCGCCCTTACAGGCGCAAGTGGCGACCCTTGCCGCCGGCGTGCAGCAACTCAAGGATGCTCCGTGTCCTCCATCTCCTGGCTCCCAGTCCGGGTCGCCCGTCCTCCGACAGGGTGGCCACGACGGAGCTTCCTCCTCCGCCGCCCCCGACCAGGCCATCTTGGTGAATGTCCACGCCCCTAGCATGACGGCCTCCACGAGCCAGGCCCTCCCTCAGTCAACGGGCGCTCCCGCCCAGATTCCGGCCATGACGGCCACGGGACCACAACCCGCTACCATGGTCTCAGCTTTTCCGGGTGCCCCACTTCTCCCCCCTCTTCGCACAGCCGCAGCGCCATCTGGCTCGCCCCCTTGTGGGATGCCTCGCGCCTCTCGTGCGTTTCCCTTTGCCACACCTCGCTCGATCTACGTTCGAGGTCTCGAGGACGAGATCGCCCAGCTGCGGACCGACCTCGCCCTCTCACGCCTTCAGCCACCCCCACCCTCACAGGTGCCCGCGCCTTCCGGCGCACCCTCTTCTTCCTCTTTTCTTCCTTCCATGCAGGCTCGCTTCCCTCGCCCTGCACCTTACCCATCCCCATCCTATCTCCTCCCCATCCCCTCGGTTAGTGCGACCTCTTCTATCACAGCTCCCTCGCAGCCTGCCGCTGTTTCCCCCGCCGCTCCACCATGCGGCCCGGGTGTCCAGCCAGTTGCGCCTCCTCCTCCAGGACCTGCGCCGACTTATTCCGCCGTAGCCCAGTCCCCTGCTTCCTGTACCCTCCGCCGCCAAAACGGTGGCGCACCACTCATCCGCTTGTCAGACATTGCCTTGTATGACAGTACAGACATACGCGTGTCTAGGTGGCTGCATTCTGCCACCCGTACGCTCCAGCTCATGGGCGCTACACCCGACACGTGGGTGGGTCACCTTTCCACGCGCCTGCGTGGCGGTCCTTCCGAGGCCTGGGAGGATTTCTACGCGCACTCCCTTCGCGCGGGTCGGACTCCGACCTTCATAGATTTCTAGGCATTCCTCGAGGATCGCTTCGGAGCCCGACACGATGTGACTGACGCCTTCGAGCGTGTCGTCACTACACGCTGGTACGGCTCTGGTGGCGCTGCCGGCCTGGATCGCCATATCCAGGTCTTTCACGGCAGCCGCCTCATTTGTGACATAGCATTCCTCCCCGAGGCGGCCCTTATCCATCGGTTCTTGGCCAGCCTTCCGCTCGAGTACCGCTCCGAGCTATGGCGGTACGAGTTCACATCGGCCCCGCAGGCTTTGAGGCTGCAACGGACCATCAGCGGATGTGGGCTCGTCTTCACCCCACCTCCGCCTCCCAGCCACAGCGTACTGGTTACGTCTCATCCTCCTCTCACGACACTTCCTAGCGCCGTTCCCCCTTCCGCGGTCGCCCGCGCCGTTCCGCGCAGTAGGGTCGCCACTTCTCGCGCCGCTTCAGCGTGCTCGAGTATGGTGAGCAGGACGCTGGTGCCCCGCTGTCGCCAGAGGGTGACCATAGCGACGACCTCGATCTCGACGACGTAGTCCACCACCACCTAGAGGACTCTACTCTTCCTATGGCTGAGCGCCTCCAGCTCATCCTCTCCGCCCTTTCCCGGGCACTCAGCCGCCCTGGTCACGTTGGCGCGTCGGCCCCCGAGGTCCCTCAACAGGACCTCCCTCAGGGCTTTGTTCCTCCTCGCGGTGTCCTTTCCGCTGAGGAGCGCGCGGCTATTATGGGCCGACGTGGGTGTTTGCGATGCCGTCTGGACGGTCATACCTCCTTGCGGTGCCCTTACACCACCGCCCTTGACCGCCACTACGCTGACCTTTCCCGCTAGCGTCGTGCTTCGTCCCCCCCCGGTGCCTCTCATCCCTGCGGCGCCTCTTAGCCACGGTGCAGTGTACACCTGCGCCCTCCTCAGTAGCGGGTTTTCTGACATCTCCGTCGTGGTTCGCCCCTCTCGCTATTGGAGTTGAGGAATCGCAGGACTCGACAGAGCGTACTCAGCCCTCTGTCGCAGTACCGTCTGCGCCTCCGCAGACCACCATCTCCCCTCCTTCCCCGCCGCGACTACCGACGCGTCGAGCCATTCGCTCAGCCCGTTGCAGCGAGCAGCTTGCTACTCGCGAGGACGTTGTGTCCTCTCTTCTGGACTTGAGCATGCTCCAGGCTCATCAGGAGTGACTCACCCTAAATGTCGCTGCACTGCGTCACCTTCTCGCCATCCTCTTTGACCCTGATCGCACCCTCCCGATCATCCCAGTACGACTCGGGACCTCCACGAGGGTGTACTTAGCGGTGTGGGATTCCGGTTCTCAGGGCGACTTCATTCACCCACGCGTGGTGAAAGAAGCCCGCTTAACCACGACAAGGTCTCCGACTCCCATCTCCGTTACCTAAGGGGATGACAAGATCCAGTGCTTCTTCGATCAGACGGTCACCGACCTCCCTTTCTTCCTTACTCTCGAGCCAACTGATCGTTCCCCATCGTCTCGTCGCCACCGCTCCTCTGCACATTTCGATGTGATGAAGACGGGGTACGACTTCATTCTCGACACTCCGTGGTCTCGCCAGTTCCGCAGCACCGAGGCAGATTGGGGGACCAACACTCTCATCTCAAAACGAAGTATGGACAGACGTATCACGTACCTTTCATACGTACCACCGCGACACCACGCCCTGATCCTCCTCCCCCGGAGCCTTCCGCGTCCACATCATCTCCTTCTATCACTGTTACCTCGCCTCAGCAGTTCACTCACTTCATCCGACAGGACGACGCCACCTTCTTTATGGTGAACAAGACGGATCCCTTACACTATGATCCACCTTATCCTGACGCCGAGCTTATCCCTCTGGCGCCAGATCCTCCTTCTATCTCCATGGCTCCCATTTCTACTTCCGTCCTTCCGCCGTCCATCGAGTCCACCCCGCCGTCGCGCACTGACGCTGACGCTGAGGAACTCGCACGATATACGACTGACCTGGAGCCCGCAGTTCGTAACCTCATCTGAGAGTACCACGACGTTTTCCCATCGTCGTTCTCGTACGCCGGCATCCCACCGGTGCGTGACGTCGAGCACTCCATTCAGCTTGTGCCTGACTATCGTGTTCACCACCAGGCACCCTACAGACTCTCGATCCCCAAGGCCAGTGAACTCAAGCGTCAGCTTGAGGAGCTCCTAAGACTGGGTTCATTAAACCCAGCAACTCCCCGTGGGGTGCACCCGTCCTCTTTGCTCGCAAAGCGGATGAAACTCTCCGTCTCTGCATCGACTATCGCGGCCTCAACCGCTACACGACTAAGAACAGCTACCCCATGCCTTGTTCCGACGAATTGTTCGACCGCCTAGCAGGCAACCGCTTCTTCACGAAGATTGATCTTCGTAGCGGTTACCATCAGATCCGCGTCGCTGCAGCCAACCAGCCGAAGACAGCGTTCCGATCGCGCTTCGGCCACTACGAGTTTACGGTGATGCTATTCGGCCTCACCAACGCACCCGCTACCTTTCAGAGGGCGATGAACGACATCTTCAGGGACATCTTGGAGCAGTACGTTCTCGTTTACCTCGATGATATCCTGGTCTACAGTCGTACCCTTGAGGAGCACCTCAGACACCTCCGCGACCTCCTTAACCGCTTGTGTAGACATGGCTTCTACGCCAAGCTCAGCAAGTGCCGCTTTGCCTAGCACAAAGTGGACTTCTTAGGACATTACGTGTCTGACCAGGGTCTCCACATGGACGACGCGAAGATCACTGCTTTTGCGGAGTGGCCCGCTCCCACATCCGCCAAGCAGCTTCGCAGCTTCCTCGGCCTGACCAGCTAATATAGCAATTTCATCCGGGGATACGCTAGGTATTCCTACGTCCTTACCTCCACCCTCCTCCGGAAGRACCCACCCTGGGCTTGGACACCCCTCCACGAGGATGCCTTCCACGCCCTCAAGAAGGCGGTGACATGCGCACCGGTTCTTCACCTACCCGATTTTGATCGCCCTTTTATCCTCACCACCGATGCTTTAGACTTTGTTGTAGGAGCAGTGCTTTCTCATGTCTTCCCCTCCTCTCCTGGTTCCTCTCATCCTCGTATCCCTCATTTCCCACCACCTACCCCTACCACTGCTTCCCGACTGACGCCTACTCGTCCAGCTACTGATGAGCCTTCTATTGACTATTCTCCTACCATCGCCGAGGATGGCACTATCGAGTCTCGCTCAGGTGATTGTCCGATAGCCTTCTACTCCCGTCAGCTTATGCCTGGTGAGATAAACTACACTACTGATGAATGTGAGGTTCCCGCAGTAGTTTATGCCGCTCGACACTGATTTCTCTACCTGCACGGGGCACCGTTTACGATGTGTACAGACAACTCTGTTGTCTAGGCTTTTCTGACAAAACCGAAGCTCACTCCTCGACAGGCTCGCTGGTGGCGCGACCTATCCGAGTTTAGTTCACCACTGAGCAAATCAAGGGTGAGACTAATCGGGTCGCAGATGCCTTATCCCGGCGCCCTAACCACGACCAGGAGCAGATCCAGCTCTCTTCCATCTCGGTCACCACCGTCCACCACTCGATGATCGACGAGTTTCGCACTCAGTATCGCCACTGCCCCGACTATCGCGACATCCACGTGACCCTTCGGAGTGGCAAGACCATCCGAACTACTCCCTCGGGGACAACGGTCTTGTGTACTGGCACGGTTCACAGGGCACCAGAGAGCCCCATATTTGCGTTCCCTCCACTGGACAGCTACGTCTCCGAGCAGTAACAGAGTTCCATGACCAGGCAGCCGCCGGTAATATGGGCTTTCACAAGACGTTGGCTCGTGTGAGCCGCTTGTACGTCTGGCCGAAGCGCAAGGATTTTGTGAAGGACTACGTCGCAGAGTGTCCCATCTGTCAGGAGGTGAACAGTGTGAACCACTTGCCTGATGGTTTGCTCCAGCCTCTTCCTATCCCTGAGGGTCGTTGGCAGCCCATCTCAAAGGACTTTATCGGTCCCCTTCGTCCTCCGACCCCTCGTGGTTATGATGCTATCCTGGTCGTCGTCGACCGCTTCACAAAGCGTGCACGCTTTGTTCCATGCCGCTATGCCATCAGTGCACGTGAGGTCGCCGACATCGTGTTTGAACGAGTCGTGCGTGACCACGACTTACCTCTGAGCATCATATCTGACCGTGAGCCGCGCGTTACCAGCCGATTCTGGCGACGGCTCCACGAGGTGTACGAAACTCTGCTCCGGATGCTTCATCTAGGTGCGCCCAGTATACCAGGCTCCCTTCTTCCCTTGCATGGTCGACCCTCCATCGCGGTCACCCCTTAGTCGAGCGTTACCCGCCCTGATGGTCTATCTGTTAGGGTCATTGGTTCTGTTCGCTCCCAGTTCCCTACCCTCATTGAGCCTGATGACATGTGTTTCCCCCTATCACTATGTGTGGATGCCCTTAGGAGTTTTCGACCATTAGGCTGCATTCTCCACCCTCAGAGACCATCCCACTCTTTGTTTGCGACACACTTCTCCTGTGACATATGGTTGACTTGTTGTTGTTTTGTTGCTCTCAGACTGAGGCTACTGCCTCTAACATTTCTAGGATTTAGCTGTTCTGCTTTTGCTGTTCTTAGGACTTATACACTAGTCAGTTGGTTCCAGACTGAGGCTACTGCCTCCAACATTCTAGGATCTAGTTCTCACTGCTTTCTGCTTTCATAGACATGTATGCTAGTTAGTTGCTTTTGCTTTCCTATGACATGTATGCTAGTTAGTTGTTTTTGCTTTCACTTAGGCTGTTAGCTGTGACATTGCTGTTTTGTGACATTTTTTATCCTACGTTGCATCGCATGGACTCAGCATGGAGCTTGCTCCGCACCCTAGACTACTCAGGTTTTCTTTTTCTTTGGTAGAGTTTCGCTTCTTGGCGGAAGCGTGTTTGCATCTAGGCGATCCATCACAGACCGAGGATCGTGTAGCGGACCTCTGGTTGGCCTGTGAGACCAACCCCTTGGCCTGTTCTCATAGGCCTGTGTTCTATTCGGGGGCAGTTCAGTCCAGTCCAGTCCAGGCCGACACCTCTGTCGTCACCAGCCAGTCCAGTCCAGTGCAGTCAGTCCGCTGGGGTATACCCCAACAGTTGTCTGTTTCGTCCTCATTATTGACTTACACATTTTGGAGTACGTGTGTTGGAGTCTTGCCTGGGGAGCTGCGTTGTGCCATCTCGCTGCCCCCCTTCTTCCTCCATCTCCATCTCTACCACTCACGGAGTACCACACCTGATGGGTCTGCTACAATGGGAGTTGCTCAGCTTGGCGAAGAAGCTATGTCTGCGCAAGCGGTCAAGGACGTCGTGGAGGTGTCTGAGGTGCTCCTCAAGGGTACAACTGTAGACCATGATATTGTCAAAGTAGACGAGAACGTACTGCTCCAGGATATCCCTGAACATGTCGTTCATTGCCCTCTGGAAGGTAACGGGTGCGTTGGTGAGGTCGAATGACATCACCGTAAACTCGTAGTGGCCGAAGCGCAATCCAAACAATGTATTCGGCTGATCCGCTGCAGCGACGCGGATCTGATGGTATATGCTACGAAGATCAATCTTTATAAAGAAGCGGTTACCTGCTAGGCGGTCGAACAGCTCATCGAAACGAGGCATGGGGTGGCTGTTCTTAACCGTGTAGCGGTTGAGACCACGATAGTCGATGCAGAGACAGAGAGTTTCATCCGCTTTGCAAGAAACGAGGACGGGTGCACCCCATGGGGAGTTGTTGGGTTTAATGAAACCGATTCTCAGGAGCTCCTCAAGCTGACGCTTGAGTTTGGTGGCCTCGGGGATCGAGAGTCTGTAGGGTGCCTGGTGGTGAATACGATAGTCAGGCACAAGCTGGATGGAGTGCTCGACGTCGAGCATCGGTGGGATGCCAGCGTATGACAACGACGATGGGAAAACGTTGTGGTACTCTTGAGAAAGGTCACGAACTGCGGGCTCCAGGTCGGCCATATAGCGTGCAAGTTCCTCAACGTCAGCGTCAGCGCGCGACAACGGGGTGGACTCGACAGACGACGAAGGGTGGAAAGTAGAGATGGGAGCCATGGAGATGGAAGGAGGATCTGGCTCCAGAGGGATGAGCTCGGCATGGGACAAGGTGGATCATAGTGTAAGAGATCCATCACGTTCACCATAAAGAAGGTGACGCCGTCTTGTTGGATGAAGTAGGTGAACTGCCGAGGCGAGGTGACAGTGATAGAAGGAGATGGTGTGTACACGGAAGGCTCCGCGGGAGGAGGATCAAGGCGTGATGTCGCGGTGGTACCTACGAAAGGTACGCGATACGTCTGTTCACACTTGGTTTTGAGAACGAGAGTGTTGGTCGCCCAATCGGCCTCGGTACTGTAAAACCGACGAGACCACGGAGTACCGAGAATGAAATCGTACCCTGTCTCCATCACATCGAAATGTGCGGAGGAGCGGTGGAGACGAGACGCCAGGGGACGATTAGTCGCCTCGAGAGTGAGGAAGAAAGGAAGATCAGTGACCGTCTGATCGAAGAAGCACTGGTTCTTGTCATTCCCTAGGTTAACAAAAATGGGAGTCGGAGACCCTGTCGTGGGTAAGCGGACTTCTTTCACCACACGTAGGTGAATGAAGTCGCCCCGAGAACCGGAATCCCACAACGCTGAGTACACCCTCATGGAGGTCCCCAGTCGTACGGGGATGATCGGGAGGGTGCGGTCAGGGTCAGAGAGGATGGTGAGAAGGTGACGCAGAGCAGCGACATGGAGGGTGAGTCGCTCCTGACGAGCCTGGAGCATGCTCAAGTCCAGAAGAGAGGACACAACGTCCTCGCGAGTAGCGAACTGCTGGCTGCAATGGGCTGAGCGAATCGACGCGTCGGTAGTCGCGGTGGGGTAAGAGGAAATACGGTGGTCTGTGAAGGCGCGGACAGTACTACGATAGAGGGCTGATTACACTCTGTCGGGTCCTGCGAGACCTCAACTCCAGTACCAAGAGAGGCAAACCGCGACGGGGATGTCGGAAAGTCGACTACTTAGGAGGGCGCAGGTGTACACTGCACCGTGGCTAGGAGGCGCCACGGGGATGCGAGGCGTCGGGGGGGGACTGAGCACGACGCTGGTGGGAAAGGTCAGCGTAGTGGCGGTCAAGGGCGGTGGTGTAGGGGCAGCGCAAGGAGCTATGACCATCCTTGCGGTAGCACAAGCACCCACGCCATTCCAAAATAGTTGCGCGCTCCTCAGTGGAAAGGACACCGCGAGGAGGGACAAAGCCTTGAGGGAGGTCCTACTGAGGGACCTCGGGGGCGACGCGCCAGCGTGACCGGGGCGGCTGCGTGCCCGGGAGAGGGCAGAGAGGATGAGCTGGAGGCGCTCGACCATAGGGAGAGTAGATTCTTCCAGGTGGTGGTGGACGGCCTCGCCGAGGTCGCCGTCGTCGCTATGGTCACCCTCTGGCGACAACGGGGCACCTGTGTCCTGCTCACCATACTCGAGCGCGCTGAAGCGGCGCGAGAAGTGGTGGCCCTGCTGCGCGGAACAGTGGGGGCGATCGTGGAAAGGGGAACGACGCTGGGAAGTGTCATGAGAGGAGGAGGAGGCGTAACCTGTGCGTTGAGGCTGGGAGAAGGAGGCGGGGTGAAGACGGACACGCATCCGCTAATGGTCCCTGGCGGCCTCGTAAGCCTGTGGGGCCGATGTGAACTCGTACCGCTATAACTCGGAGCGGTACTATAGCGGAAGGCTGACCAGGAAACGATCGATAAGGGAAGCCTCGGGGAGGAACGTCACGTCACAAATGAGGCGGGCGTCCTGAAAGACGTGGATGTGGTGATCCAGGCCGGCAACACCACCAGAGTCAAACCAGCGTGTAGTGACGACACGCTCGAAGCCGTCAGTCACGTCATGTCGGTCTCCAAAGCGATCCTCGAGGAACGTCTAGAAATCCATGAAGGTCGGAGTCTGACCCCCATGAAGGGCGTAAGCGTAGAAATCCCCCCAACCATCAAAAGGACTGCCACGCAGGCGCGTGGAGAGGTAACCCACCCACGTGTCAGGTGGGGCGCCCATGAGCTAGAAGGTGCGGGTGGCAGACTGTAGCCACCTGGACATGCGTATGCCTGTACCGTCATACAAGGCAATGTCTGTCAAGCGGATGAGTGGTGCGCCAACATTTCGACGGCAAGAGGATCGAGAAGCAGAGGTCTGTGCCACGACTAAGTAAGTCGGCGCAAGTCCTGGAGAAAGGGGTGCAGCTGAATGTGCGTGTGGGCCGCATGGGGGAGCGGTGGGGGCAACAGTGGCAGGCTGCGAGGGAGCTGCGGTAGAAGAGGTCGCAGCAATCACGGGAATATGAAGGAGGTAGGATGAGGCTGGATAGGGTGCAGGGCGAGGGAAGCGAGCCTGCATGGAAGGAAGGGTAGAGGAAGGAGGGGGTGCGCCCGAAGGCGAGGCCACCTGTGAGGGTGGGGGTGGCTGAAGGTGTAAGAGGGTGAGGTCGGCTCGGGTCTGGGCAAGCTCGTCCTCAAGACGTTGAACGTAGATCGTGCAAGCAGTGGCAAGAGGAAGAGTGGGGGAGGTGGACGCACGAGCGGCGCAGGGCATCCCTGACGGGGAAGAGCCAGGTGGCGTTGTGGTCATGCGAAGGGGAGGGAGAAGCGGGGTACCCGGAAAAGCTGAGACCATGGTAGCGGGTTGTAGTCTCGTGGCCGTAGTGACCAGAATCTGGGCTTCCCTTATAGACTGAGCGAGGGCCTTACTCGTGGCGGCCGTCGAGCTAGGGGTGTAGAAGGTCACCAAGATGGCCGGGTGGGGGGCCGCGGAGGAGGAAGCTCCACTATGGCCACCTCGTCGGAGGGCTGAGGACCCGGACTCGGAGCCAGGAGACGAGAGAGAGTCAGGAGATGAAGGACTGATAGCGTCCTGGAGTTGCTGCAAGCCGGCGGCAAGGGTCTCCACCTGCGCCTGTAAGGGCGCGATGATTGCGAGTTGTGCTTGAATGAGCGCAAAGACGGAGGTGAGGAGGGTGTGCAGATCCAAGTGGGGCTGCTGGCCTTGGACCGCGGTAGAAAACAGCGGATGGCGCTAGCAAGGCTAGCGCAGGCGCCGTCAAAGGGGGAGAGGTGGTTCGGGTCCAGGGTGCTCGAAGAGGACGGGGAAGTAGGGGGGTCTGAAGAACCCTAGACCCTATAAAAACCATAAGAAAACCCTAACCTGAGTTTGAATGGTTAGGGTAGGGTACCGGTGACCTAATCAAGAAACTAAAATAACAAGCATAGGGGGAGAAGGCGGGAGAAAAATAAATAAACAACGAGGTTTCAAGAAAAAAATAAAAATAAATAATGAAATAAATAGATAATAAAAATATTTAAAGAAATAAGGAAATAAAATATGAAGAGAGAAATAATATTTATTTTTTTAGAATTTTCGACAGCATTTCCCTACCCCCCATGCGGTCAAGAATGTGCCAAGGGGAAAGGAGAGACCGAGATAAGCACACTAGGTTTCAAACTGCCGCAAATTAAAAATTTCGAAAAATAAATAAAAAAATAATAAATAAATAGATAAATAAATAAATAAGTAAATAAGCGGATGAGGAGGTGGAGAGAAATGGAGTAGCTGATTTTTCAAAATTTTTGGCAGCATTTCGTTACCCCCACGAGGTCGAAGTGTGCTGAAAAAGACTAAGTAAGAGAAAAAAACAGAAAATTTCGGCACCACTTTTTTATCCCCACAGGGTCAAAATATGTGTCGAAAGCAAGAGAGAGGAACTCCTAATCAGATTTAAGGAGGCCGCAAGGAAATTCGAATTTTCAGAATAAGTAAAAAAAAAAATAAAAAAAAATCAGAAAATGAGAAAAGAAGGTGGGGAAGAAGATAATTCAATTTTTTTTTGAAAAAAAAGAAAAGATAAATCAAAAGAAAGATAGAAAGAAGAAGAACTGAAAAATTCGAAGTAGGGGGAAAGGGAATGAAAAGTGAAGGAGAGAGAGAGAGAAATAAGTGGGAGAGAGAAAAAGATGGAAGTGGGAGGTAGGAGGATGATGTAGTGGTAGTTGGGGGGGAGGAGGGTGAGAGAATGGGAGAGAGAGGGATGGGGAAAGGTGGAGAGGGATCAAGAAGCAAAGAGAACAGAAGGAGGAAATAATAGAAAATAAATGAAGATAAGAGAGTAAAAGAGCGGGTGGTGGGAGAAAAGGTGGGGTGGGGAAGGTAAAAAGAGGAGGGAAAAGAGGCAGTGGAAGGTGGGGGAAAGAGAAGGGGTGAGTAAGAGGAGAGAGGAGAGGTAGGGAAGGTGGGTTAGTAGAGAGAGAGAAAAGAGAGATGATACCTTGCCCTTGGTGTCTCCAAGGGCACAAGGTATACCAAGACCAGGAGGGTCTTGTGCTTCACTGCAGCAGCTAACTGGAGGAGGAAGGGGGAACTGAGATCTTGATCAGCCCCTACCAGCAGATCCAGGGTATGCTGTGTGAGCAGACCCTCACCACAGTATAGCATCCCCCTTAGCAGGGAGGTCTTCAGTTCAACTGCAAGCTGCCACGTGGCACTGCGGATGGCCACGTGCGCAGGCAGCAGCAGGCAGGGGGGGTGGGGGGCAAATAGCAGCCCCGTCGTCGCTGCTCTGCTGCTCGCTGCTCGCCGCCGGGGGGCGTAAATAGCCAGCACACGAGTGTGCCGTACTACAAAGCCACACATACACTGTGGCGGGTGTGTTATGAGAGTGGCTACGCACGCGCATAGCCCAGCAGGTGCCTGGGTTCAAACCCCAGCGGCAGCAAGATCCCAGATCTTGATAATGTAAATCCGAGGGCGGGCCAGCGGGGCACCGTGGGCGCGTGGCGCGTGCGGCGGTCTTGGCCTTGGCACTTGCGCGCACGCGCTCATCGTGGCACGTGCTTTTTGCAGTTCCTTTTTTTTTTTTCCCGTTTTCGTCGAAAAACGGCCTGGAAAAAGCCAAAAAACCGCCTGTCGGGGTTTGCTGTTTTTCCAGCTGTACGGGGTGGCTGGTGGGAGCGGGCAACGTTCCCGCTCCGATACCAATGTGGCGGACCCACCAGTTGTGGTGCTCCGCCAGGGATAGAGATGGAGATGGAGGAAGAAGGGGGGGCGAGATGGCACAGCGCAGCTCCCATGCCAGACTCCAACGCACGTACTCCAAACTGTGCGAATGTAGAATGAGCTCGAAAACAGACAACGGCTGGGGTATACCCCAGCGGACTGACGGGACTGGACTGGACTGGCTGGTACCGACAGAAGTACCGGCCTGGACTGGACTGCCCCGAATAAAGCACAGGCCTGTGAGAACAGGCCAAGGGGCTGGTCTCACAGGCCAACCAGAGGTCTGCTACAGTCTGTGTATGTCTTCTCTTCTCTTGGGTATCTGGACACGAATACAATTATTGATAGGGTTAATGGCAAAAATATTGCTGTTTGGAAGTTTGGCAGCAAAAATGTCGTCCGTTGGAAGTGTCCTTTGCAAAAATAGATGTTTCTTTGCAGCTTTATCAGGTTCCCATAGTTTGCCAGCAAAAATACCGCGTTTTGCCCAGTTTCACAGCGAAGGCCCCCTAGGCCTCTGGCCTCAGGGACTCAGGGACTCAGCATTCTGGCCTGAGGCACTCAGCGTTTTTTTTTTTTTTTTCCCTTCAGCATGGCAGACGCATCTGGGCGTGCCCACGGCCGAGCTGCCTCGGTCACGGCCGAAAAAAAAAAAAAAAAAAAAAAAACAAGAAACGTGGGCGAGGCATCTCGGCGTGGCCACGCCTGCGGAAAGGAAAAAAAAAAAAGAAAAAAAAAGAGAAAAACTGAGTGCCTGAGTCCCTGAGGCCAGCGGCCTAGGGGTCCTTTGCTGTGAAAGCTGGCGAAAGGCGGTATTTTTGCTGGCAAACTAGGGGAACCCGATAAAGCTGCAACGAAACATTGATTTTTGCGAAGGAAACTTCCAACGGACGACATTTTTACTGCCAAACTTCGAAACCGCAACATTTTTGAAATTAACCCTTTTTTTAATATTTCACGGGGAACACACATAGCACAAGGAATTAATTTCATGGTAGAAATAGCGTTTCTGATCGCAAGAATACCTTTTTCGATTACAAAAATAGTCTGAAATACCCTTTTCAATTGCAGAAATACCCTTGTTGCTCGCAGCGATACCTTTTCAGAAAAAGAGTTCCCACGCCTGTATCTCTTGTGGAGGTATATTTTCCAGGACACTCTGAGAAAACGAGATGTCATATGACACACATAGATTAAACTATGCACAGAAAATTTGCAGGAAACTCGTTAATGTGACATCAACGACACTGCAGAAAACGCGTATCTTTGATTGAGAGGTGATTAGCGCCTACACTCGAGCGTTACGACGAAGGACAGAAAAAGAGAAAACGCCAAAGAAAACGGCAAACTCACGCTGGAAACTTTGCCGTCGTGGCTGTGCGATACGTCCATCATGATGGTGGTCCATTCGTGGAGCATAATATAATACATTCCGAAAAGTCTCAAGAGTTAATAACCTCTTAGTCTTAGGCACACAAACCATCATCGATCTTTAGATTCTTTACTAACTCGACGGTACAGTCGATATCCGCCTCGGAGCCGACTGCTTTATCTTCATGGGTCCGGGTTTTCCTCATTTCGGACGTGACATGGTAAGCAACAGGGGGACCTGAGAGAGTACCAGAGGGTCCCTGGGAGCCTTCCTGTCAATCTCCGACGATATCGAAACGATGGCGAAGCAATCAACTTCGTGCTTGCATTAGATCGACGATGTAACCTGCTATGTGAATATGTGAGTTGCTATGTGGGATGCTATGTGGGATGCTATGTGGGATGCTATGTGGGATGCTAATCTAAGTAGCTGAGAGGCTGTGAGGTGCTAGCGAGTGACCGCTGAGTGGATGGCTATGGGAGATGCTATGTGAGTTGCTATGTGGGACGCTGTGCGAGATGCTGTGCGAGTTGCTGTGTGCGCGTTGCTATGTAAGACGCTGTGCAAGATGCTGAAAGGCTGTTTTTGAGTGAGTTGCTATGTGAGGCGCTAAGCGCAGGGCTATGAGAGTAGCTGCTGCTATGTGAGTAGCTGTTGTTGTGCGATTGCTATGATGGGAGTTAGTATGGGAGTTGCTACATGAGTAGGGAAAATCTTTCGTGAGTTGCTATGCGTAGTGCTATGTGCGTTGCCGTTTAAGTTTGTACGAAACTGCTATGTGCCTGCTATGCGAGCTTGCAGTAGGCCAACACTAGTACGTGAGTTGCCCTGTGAGTGGGTATGTGCGGTGCTACGCCAGGTGCTACTTGAGGTCCTATGTGGGACACCAGGTGGGGTCTGGAAGAAGCTTGAGCATGGAAGTTCATCCTAATTTGAAAGGATATGCACAATCGTTATCACAATGACGAAGGCCGCCACGGACGTCACGTAACTAAGCTCATCAAGCTCCTCACCATCGCCTCGTTCTCGCGTTTGATGGCGGAGAGATCAAGTGACCTCTTCCTACCAGTCCTTAGATGACGAAGTGCTTCTGCGTCCCTCGTTGCTTCCACTACCATTCGTCTTGAAATGCGTCTCCTCAAGCTCTCCAGTACGTCTTACTATCGTTTTCACGCTCCCTCTTTTTTCTTGCTGTGACTGTTCTCCCAGGACCGCCTTTCCCTTCCCTTCCCTCTCTCTCTCTCTCTCTCTCTCTCTCTCTCTCTCTCTCTCTCTTCTGTGTCTGTGTGTATGTGTGTGTGTGTGTGTGTGTGTGCGTGTGACTGCTCGACAGTCGCAAGTGAATGCCACGTGTCCAGTCCAGCCATCGATCCGACGGCGATCTGAACCTGTCTACCCCTCCCTCCAGAAGCACCAGATCGACACGAACACAAACTGCTGAGGCCGATACTGGCCACGACGCCGGCAGGACACGTTCCAAGTTCCAACGCTGAGGCCGACGCTGACAGGAGAACTTCTATCGCTGACGCTGATGCAGACACGAGATGAGTGGCAATGCTGAGGCCGACCCCGACAGGAGAACTGACAACGCTGAGCCCGACGCTGACAGAAGAACTTCCAGCGCCGGCCGACAGATTTGGCTCAACACCTCCTCCAAGTTAGGCCGAAGATTGCAGGCGAGCCTCCAATCTTGACGACGCCACTTGCACCTCGAGCACCGCCGGTGTTGACTCTGACCTCGAGCATGATGTTGATATCGCGCGACAGGCCACATGTGACAAAGATGCTTGGGCTGAGCTTCTTAGCCAAAGTAAAACCCCGATTATATGCGCCGTTGATGTTGAGGCTAGCGCTCGCTGTTCCCATCGCTCCGCTGACATGGAAACTGGCCCGGGCTAAGCCACGAACACCACGGCTGAGGCTTGCTGACCCGCTGGCTTTAACTGAGCTCACACTCACTTGCCAACCAGAAGGATAAGATAACGACAGGCTCAGAGTACAGACATTTCGTTGTTTAGCCAGCCCTCCCGTTGTCGTAGCCTCGAACGAGTTGACGGAGACGCTGATCGACTTCCCGCGGCCGATCAAGCGAGCGGTCGCAGAACTGCAACCGCTTCCGACGGCCGAGACGCCCCCGACACTGACCCCTCGTGGAACGCGTTGTGCTTCCCCATGCGCGGCCATGTTCAGGAGGATTGCCAGCAAGAGGACGACCGCCATAGCCATTGTCCGGACAGACGAGATGGAACGGATAGCGTTTTGCTCCATCACTGTCACCGCCGTCGAGTGAGACTTAGTCTTCGGTCTCCTCCTGGGAGAAGCGGTGAAGAACAGAGAGGACTAGGAGGACGAGGAGGACGAGGAGCAGGAGGAGGAGAAGAAGGACGACGGCAGTCACGGGCGTCAGGATACCTTCGACGAGACGCAAGAAGAAAGAGAAGGAAATCGATGAGTGATGAGAGGTGAGATGAAAGACGTATAATGGGGGAGTAGGAGAAAAAGTACTCGAAGAACACGGAGTAGAGGAACGATAACGGACTTTTCTACACCTTGTAACTTTCGGTATTCTACGCTACGCGGCTACGTGCACTTGAGAAGCCCCTCTGCTGCTACTTTCCCTCCTTTCTTATTCTTTTCCTTTTCACCCAATGAAAATCATCCGACGAGGAGTGACTGACTACTTCATCTCACTTGGATAGGCCCTGTATGCCTGCTCGCTTATATACAGGCTTTCTTGTCTGTACACATAAGTCTATGACGTCCACCTAGTACCTATTTTCTCTTCGAGATTGGAGTGGTGTTTTCCCGTGGAGAACGGAGTCGAGTAGCAGTTGTCTATCGTCATTATGTAGAGATTCCATTCAGTATGATGCTCTATAGCCTTCTGTATGGTCTATGCTCTCTATACGAAATCCCGTTCACAGGAATCGAACACACACCCATGTGTATGGTCTATAGTACACGTGCTTTATGCTGCTTGAAGGAGCTGAAACGACGATCTGTTCATCAGCTGTTAGTACATGGGTCTGTACCCGTCAGCTGTGTGTGTGTGTGTGTGTGTGTGTGTGTGTTCACCAAGCACAAACTTCTCCCGCCCCCTCCCTGCCTGCCTTTTCCTAAAGGGCCGGGGAAAACTCCCACTTACCCTGAGTCTTCATTTCTGGCCGCCGATCATCTGAATCTACGGTCAGAAGTTGAGAATTCGGGTAAGTGGGGCTTGGCCCCGGAAAACTGTTTATCCCCTGGTAGGTACATGGATGTGTTTATCCCCTGGTAGTACATGGATGCGTTTATCTCCTGGGGCTACGTCCCACTTGCACGAATTAAGAGACACTGACCGTAGATAGCAAAGATCTACGGCCGAAATCTCCTAATCGGCGCAAGTGGGACCTTGCCCCTGGTAGTGGCCACTCTCTGAATTTACCTGAAACGGTCGCCTTTTCGCGGTAACATCATCGGACTACCCAACTCGTGTGACTGAACGGTACCCCCTCAGAGGCCAAGTCCCACTAGCAGCGTTGAGTTTCCTCAACGCCTGAATCTGAACGTTTTTGTGGTGATGTGTGGTTGAGGAAACTCAACGCGACTTCTGGACATCTCCTCAAACACCTCCAGATTTAGGCGTTGTTGCTAGTGGGACTTGGCCACCGCACTGTTGAGAAGAAAGACGTGGATACGAATCTTCATGGACTAGAATGAAAAAACTGTTGAATCGAACCAAAGAACTCATCAATTACCTCCGACTCTAGGCTACCAGCCGGGCCGCCTGGGTCACCCTACGTTTCCGGGCGGGCCGGCCGTGCAAGGACCAGGAAAGGCCCTAGCAAAAAAAAAAAAGAAAAAAAAAAAAGGAAGAAATCCGCAAAAAAAAACTATGTTATGCAGAAAAATGAACTGAACAACTTTTGCCTCAGAGGGTGACATCGAAATTCGTTACCAAATTGAAAATAAAAAATAAAATAAAAATGAATTGTTATTTTATTTTATTTTTTTGGCCCGGCCGGGCAAGTGGTCCCGGGCCACTCTGGTAGCCTAGCTCAGACGTGGATTCGAATCTTCTTGGAACAGGATGAATGAAACGACTTTTGGAATGAAAAAGACAATTAAAAACGAAAAAGAAAACTCTTGAAATGAATAAAAGAACTCGTCAAGCATTGTGTCTGTTTCAAGTACTTCGGTTATACCACTTATTTTTATTTGTTTCTGGTTTCAAGTCCACATAGTTATTAGATCTTGTTTTCAGACAATTGTAATGAACCCAGTCTAAGGGCGTCGTTCCACACTCCTCGGGGCATCCTCGGGCTCCGAGGATGAATCCTCGGAAAAGCTTAGGTTTTTTGTCGTCTTCGTTCCACTCATCCTCGGAGCTTCAGTTTAGGACTCATCCTCGGAGCAATATCAGAAAAATAAAAGGGAAAAAAAAAGAAAAAAAGTTGTGCTTCAGGATTTCAGCCAATAGGGTGCCGCCAAGATCAGAATTCTCGGTTGTATCGTCTCTCTGAGTGCATGCCCTCTCCTCTCCGTGAAACACGGATCCTTGGGCCCGAGGTCCTTTGAAGCCGAGGACGATTTGGCCGGGAAATCCTCGGAGCCCAAGGATTTGTCCTCGGAGTGTTTTCACCTTTTCATTTTCGATTTCATCTCCGAGGACAGGTGGAACGACGACGGAATCCTCGGAATCGTGTCCCCGAGTAGTGTCGAATGACGCCCTAATAGATACTCAGAAGTCATCAATCTCTCCTAGTTTCAATATCTGCACGGAAGTCTCCAGATTGTGAAGTGATATCTCAAACAGTAACTCATTATCAAAAGGGGAGAGACTGGAGCGAGAATAGACAAAGGAGAGGAAGGAGATCACACAGTAATAAACCCTTAAGATCCCTCTCCTTCTCCGGGCTTCTTCCCACACCACATCCTCAATGATAATAAGTATATTATTGATCACAAACAATAGTGCCACATGGCACTTTATCTCATGAAGACTCCGAAGACACAGCAGATTTCCAGTGACGACGTCAACCTCAGGTGAGTACCCGATTCCCTACATCCACAGATCCCGATCTTCCTCCTCCTCGCAACCAGTCACCTCATGTAGACAGCGTGGACAATGCCACATCATCAATGTAGACCAGTAAGAGCGCCACGTAAACCAGAGGCAGCACTACATCAGCATGCCACGTAAATCAGAGGCAGCGCCACATATACCAGAGGCAGCGCCACATCAGCATGCCACGTAGACCAGAGGCAGCGCCACATATACCAGAGGCAGCGTGTTGCATACTCGTGAAACACAGTCATAAGTATGGTGCAGATTCCCAGAACCGACGAGACAATACAGAGTAAATACAAATGCAGCGGAAGACTTGAGATACATGGACTGACTCCGACCTGACTCAGACTGCAACGAAACACTCACAAACATACATCCGTGGTGTGTAAGCCCTGGCTTTGGACATGGAAGGAAAGGCCAGGATCAATACCCATACACGTGGAGGGAGGAGAGACGAAGGGAGGAGGAGGGGAAGCTGGCGTCAACTCAATGTTTCCAAAGATAGTATCTCGAAAATGTCAGAGATAGCGAAAATCCGAAATGTTGTGAACATAGAGTCTCACAGTATCTCAGATATAGATCTCACAATGTCCAAGTACATCTTCAGAGGAGGATGAAATCAGATCCCAAGAGTAGTCCTCAACCTACAGTCTCAATGTCGCTGTCTCCAATGCCATCAGAACTCGTCACCATCCTTCATACTCGTAGTAGTCCCGTAGGAGAACCCAGGAGTAGACTTAGACTTAGAAGGTAGGAGAGAGAGAGAGAGAGAGAGAGAGAGAGAGAGAGAGAGAGAGAGAGAGAGAGAGAGAGAGA